GGGAAAGTGTTGAGGACATTGTAAAATTCCCGGATGAAGTTGAGTGGATCCTCGCTCGGAAGCCCGTGGAATGCCGGCAACTGATTGTAATGAATCATTTTAAGCTCGTAGTTCCGTGCAGCGTCCGGCAAACGGATGCATGAAGTGACTGGCCCGATAACCGGCTGGGCCAAAGTTCGAAGGGTGTTACGGGGAGCTTGTTGCTGTCGTTCACCCATATCGAGGTTGCTGCCTTCGGATGATTTAGGAGAATGTTCGTCTTCCCCGTGCGATTCCAGAGTAAGCTCTTCCAGCAGCTCCCTCAGGCTCTCGTTGACAGATTTGTTGATTGGAGATAGCAGTTTGCGTCCACTCCTGGTACGCATACACAAAGACAAGAAACCGTCACGAGCACCAGATAAACAAAGAAGAAAAACCTAAGAAAAAACAAAGAACAAATAAAATCAAGAACTAATAAACTAGTAAAATAAAACGAAGAGAAACACTGAAAATAAAATGAATAGGCGCACAAAATAATCCTAAACCTTCCCCGGAAACGGCGCCAATTTGTTGTGAGTATTTTTACCGGAGTAGAATCGAAAGATTCGACACCGGGTCGTATCGCAAGGAAGGTTAGCCGGATTATTAAGCACGTAAACTCAACACAATTAAAAGAAATAAAAGAAATAAAATTCCTAAACGTTCTAAATCAAATAATTGGATGAGTTTTTAGTTATCAACTACTGCAAATAATTAAATAAAGCAGAGAAAGAAGTGAGCAAGGACGAAGAACAATTATGATAAAAGCGCTAGGGTATCGGGGATTTCGCTTCCGGTTCTCAATGCATTTAGCAAGCAATGAATTACTCGGCTAAGGACTCAATAAACTAACTCATCCAGAGATTCATTCTCAATATCTCACGAAACAAGAGAATAAACATAAACAAATCATTAACGAATCAATTAGCACATAGACAATACGTTACCGAACAAGCCTATTCTTAACGAGCCTGGATCGAACAATTTATCCCCTTTCGGTTTCTAAATTGATTAATTAGATTAAGATGGAGATCAAGCATCTAAACCCTAGGTTAAGCACAACTCGGAAAGATGTGCAATTACCAAGCATTTAAACGAAATCGAACCGGACCGATAATCCCCTACCCCTAGCTAATGAATTTAGCTACTCATCATGCATTCAACATCAATATATTCAATAATCAAAGCCATCTCAATCGAAAGGAAAACGAAAGTAAAGCTTACGATTAACGAATCCAATGTCGAGAGCAAGAGAAAAACCAAATCCAAGAGTCGAATCTCTAAGTTTTCACTCTCAAGATTGATCTCTAAGAGAACAAAACGAAAAATATGGGTTTTGGAACTTATTTCGTACGAGAAAGAACAAAACCTAACATAGAACATAATGAAAAACGATCCCAAAATATAACTTTAAAAATCTGCAGATCGCGGACTTCGTGGGCCGCGGAGCATCTCGCGGGCCGCGGCGAAGAAGCTCCGCGGCCGCGACCAACCCCCAAGGCCGCGGGACTTTCAGGGCTGAAGTTCGGACTTCTTGACTTTTTTTTGTTCGCCGCGGCCGCGGTGAAGAAAGAGTCGCGGGCCGCGGCATGTAAAACTGGGCGCAAGGTAATTTGCTCCCCGCGGGCCGCGGAAGCATCGTCGCTGGCCGCGGGGAAGGCTTTTCTTTCAGGCAAGGTGACTTTTCGGCCGCGTATGCACGCATCCGGATTCAGAATCGGATTCCGTCTTTTCCCACTCGACCCCAACTCATCCGTCTAGATAATTATCCTTGCATGACCACTTCCCAACCGAACCACCTATCCTGCACATCACCACCGACAAGAAAAAAGCAGAAAACCGAAGAAAAGAGACAAAAAGACCGAAAACGAACAAAAGAAAGGAAATGCAAGACGAGACTCAAAATGGACCAAAAGCCAAAAAGAAATGCCTACAATGGGGAAAAAATGAACATAAAATAAACACGAAAACACTAACAAAAATGGAACGAACAGTAAACATTGGATAAATGTTGATGTGTAAAGTGGGTGAGATAAATCTGTCTGATCCCATCCTATAAAGTAAACGAGTGGTCTTTGAAGTCTAATTCTATGAATTATATGATTATAATCCACAGATGGAGGGAAAAGTGATTCATCATTACAAAGTATAACTCGAAAATAAAATAAAAAGCACCTAAAAGTGGGTGAACAGAAAAACCTCTCGAAACAACAATCGCAATTGTTGAACGGTTCAATCCAGTGAAGCAGGGCCCAGTTGAGGAGCTCAACTCAGCTCAGTTGGTGGAATAGGGGTCAATTCCGGCACAGTCACAGAGGCTTGCGGATCGACGACTTGGCTTGAGGAACCTGCATCGACCCCCGCAGCAGTAGGGCTCGTCGCATCCACAGATAGCCAGATGATACAATTGGCACCCGACAACGAGAGATTGAAGTAAGTCTTCAAGGAGTTGGACCAAAAAAAGGTCCACACGAAGGTCTCTGATAACCAGGCGTGGTCTGCGGGAAGGGTAGCATTACCCTCGAAACCATCAGGGACGTCTAAAAGAGCAACCCATATGACTTCGTGGTCGAACGACCCGTTGAATTCGGCGGTGCGAATCTATTTCTCGACCTCATACATGCCAGTTGTATGTCAATCCATGACGAGGGTC